TTTCCCACTCACAAAGTGTTCGATGAAATGTCTGAGTCAACTCTCCTAAGCTTTTAACATTCTTTACCAGGGACACTTGTTGTTAAAGGTGTTAAGATGGCTAGTAGACTTATTCTTAATGATTGCTTTCACAATATTCAACCGAAGACATTTGATGCTTGAGTTGTGTTAGTAAATGAACATTCATCTAGACATAGAGCTTGTTTAGAATTGTGTCTAGGCTTAAGGCTGATAGTTTGATTGATCATTTGCCATCCAAAGTTCGAAACTTGATCACCCAAAATCTAATCCCTACTCCCATGAGTTGTCCTTTCTCTTAATCAAGGAAGTTATTTAGTTATCGCTTTTCTTATTCTTAGTTATAGTTTAAAACCATCATTAATTCGATTGCACTTAGATTAAGTGAGTACTTGCATTCTCAGTGCTTTAAAATCCCTTAGAATTGGTTCGACAATCTCTTATACTACAACATTTGTCTTAGGAGCCTTGAAAACTCCTAACATCAAAGTGCCATTGCACGCTTCTGGTGCAGCTCAAATCCACTGAATAGGGGAATGCACTGGGCGAAGTGGGACAAACTTTGCTGTCCACGGGAAGAAGGTGAGATTGGTTTCCGACTGATTCATGAATTCAACCTAGCTATCTTAGTAAAACAATTGTGGAGACTGATTGAATTTTCAGATTCTCTTGTTGCAAGAGTGCTACGGGGACGGTATCATCGTACATGTTCAATACTCAAATCAACAGGTTCAGTAGTGCCCTCGTACATTTGGACAAGCCTGATGGAAGAAGGCCATTATTACTTTTGGGGTTCACCAGAACGTTCATTCTGGATACCAAATTAATGCATGGGAAGATCCATGGATTCCTACGGTTCCTGCACGACCTGCAACTCCGGTGGCGCCAGTGGTTCATCCAAGGATGACAGTATCACAATTTATTCATGGGATGCCAAAAGTTTGGAAGAAATGCTACAGATATGTGTGGCACATCAGGATATCCCTATGATTCTAGGGATGACCATTAGTCAGACACACAAAGAGGATAAGTGTAGCTAGAGCTATACGAGGAGTGGCATGTATACAGTCAAATCGGGATATTGGGTGGCAAGAAATATCCTGTACCAAACGCCAGAAGTGGTGGTTTATGAATCCAGTATAAGAGGCTACAAGCTCATGCATGGAAGATAAACCCCCCCCCCCCCCAAAAAAAAAAATGAAACATCTAATCTGGCAAATAGCATCAGGATACCTAGCGGTAACACGGAACCTGACACATCGTCATATGCGATGTGATAATCAGTGCCCAAGATGTGGGGAGGACGATGAATCTGTTAATCATGCAGTTTTAGAATGTCTCCCAGCTCTACAAACTTGGGCCCATGCCAGTACACCATCGGCGCCGAAACTTTTTCCAATCGCTAGTGTCTACATTAACCTGCATTACTTATTTTGGAGAAAGAATGCAATTGAAGATCCAGTCCTTGACAGAGATCCATATCCATGCATAATTTGGTATCTCTGGAAGGCAAGGAATGATAAGTTATTCAGAGGAATTACGAGAGATCCACTACAACTGGTTCGATACGCAAAGAGTGAATGCAATGCCTGGTTTGAAGCCAATTTGAAAAGTACGGAGACTATACCACACCAACCACAGAATACCCAAGCCATAAGCTTACAGAATATGTGCCTACTCGATGGATCAT